TACTATGGCAGCCGCGATGGTGACGTCGATATACGTTGACCTCGCGGAGCAGTTATTCGGGCGGGACGCGCTGCTGACTGACACGGTGGTCAAATCAGAGGTGATCACGTTCTTCAATGCTCTTCTGTACGCGACGTGGCGGCGATGGACGATGGTGGTTTCCAGACAGAAGGCACAATTGGCAAGCAAGCTGGACGCTGTGCATACCAGATGGTTCGGTGAGTGTTAGATTACTGTGTCTATGTGTATACTTGACATCCTGAACAGAATTATCGGCCAACGAGGAGAACGTCACCGTGTTTCGTCTCACTCAATTCTTCCAGACGGTAACCCGCGTCTTAGAGCTGACTGAGGCGCTCAGCGACAAGACAGCGGAAGCTGAAATGAACGTCCTCAAGTCGGATCTGCAGAGTATGCTGAATCTCATATCTAGCGGGCCGGACAGTTCAGGCGAGACGAAACGTAAGTTCTGCTGTTGTTCGCTTGCGACATGCGCTGACGTATTGCACCAGCACTACCGAAGAGTATCCGCACCGCTTTGTTGAAGCTGGCGTCGCAACCGCAGGTCGAAAGCGTCCGCGCGCAAATCATGGCCATTATCAACGAGGAGCAGCCTGAAGTCGTCGCCCTCGATTTCGAATCGTTGCCGGAAGGTACATGGAAAGAGGGCACGGAAGAGTACGCTACCCTCACCCTGGACAAGGCTTGGGAACACCTTGGCCTCGGGAGCATCAAGAGGATCCCGGGATTTGCGGAAAAGCTGGATCTGAACGACACATACGACCCATGGTCAATTGAAGGACTGGAGGTCTTGAGGAGTGAAGAGGCTGTTCCACTTGAGCTCAAGTGGCATCAGGTCATCGGCGTCATCAAGCTCGTGGACAATCTGCTGGCAGGGAAGCCGGTCCTTCTCATGGACGAAGTCGGGATCGGGAAGACCATGCAGGCCGTCGCCTTCTGCCTGTACTACGATTACATGCGGCAATACTTCGACGAACATGGCCATTTCCCGGGGAAATGGCGTAAGTGTTTACGCCTTCATGCGGGACTCACAACACTAAACTGCTTCCAGGAGATGTGAAATACAAGGGGGGGGAGTCAAACCTTCCAGACCTCCCCATGGTGATATGCATGCCAGCGGCCCTCCATCCCCAATGGCAGACAGAGATTCGACGGTACGTACAGCAGGGATGGGTGGATCTCCTCCCTTACACAGGGACGCACAAGTCGCGGTCCAAGTGGTGGGACGACGTGTATGCGAAGTCGCATCACTCGCCCTCGCGTCGTATTATTTTGGCGACGCATACGGTGAGTTTATTATAGGCTCATATTGGTGCGCCTACTTACATAGCCATAGGCCATGAGCTCAGACAGTGAAGTGGCGTTTCGCCTTGCCGATAAGAAGATGCGGGACGCGCGGAAACACGGAGACGTGCGCGAGAAGGGCAGATATCGCGCAAGCACCCTGTACGGGCACAAATTCGGAGTTTTCGCGCTGGATGAGTCGCACGTCGTGCGAACCTTGAACACGATATACACAGCGGCGCGCCAGCTCCGTATCCAGAGCGAGACGATGGTGGCGTTGACGGCGACGCCAGTGATGACGAAGGCCACGGTAAGCCGTCATTTTGGCTTTAGGTACCTCAATGACTGAGTTCACCGTAGGACTTGTGGTTCATCGGGTGCATGCTCGGCATCCCTGCGTTCGATGAACCACAACATGACAAGGAGCTTTACCAGTGGCGTTCCCAACTCGCGACGGCTATGCGCAACGATCGCGCCAGTGCGAAACACAGCGGCAGCGCGATGAAAGTGGTGACTCGCGTCGTCCATGGCTTGAGCGTCGAGGACGACGCCCTGGAGAACGGCTTCTCGAAGGTTGTCGACGCCATGATGGTGGACGTTCGCGCAAAATACGACGGTTATGTTGTACGCCGCACGCTCGGTTCCCTCGACTGGGAGGGCAAGGCGATTTCGGGCCTTCCCCCTTACGCGGAACACATCCTTATGCTCAAGTTGACCGGCGAAGAGTACAAGAACCTGGACACGATCGCTAACGAGGCCGCGGAACTCAACCCAGGCGGTTCTATCGCCTACAACAGCGGAAAGGTGAGTCGTATTTTATTGTAGACTGCTGCAAACCGCGCGTGCGTCCTGGACGCACGCGCGTGTGGGGCCACGTCTAGCCCACCACCCTGGAGGCAGGATGTGGGCTGAAGACGCCGGCACACCGCGCGTGCGTCTTGGACGCACGCCCGCGTGGGGCCACGCAGGATGTGGGCTGAAGACGCCGGCACACCACGCGTGCGTCTTGGACGCACGCCCGCGCGGGGCCACGTCTAG